TTCAGTGACCAGTATGAGAGAGTGTGAGAGCAGTAAGACCAAATTAAACACACCTGTTCCCTATTTGCATCTGAAACCTTGCAAAACTAACGAGTCACATGACACCAGGAAGGGAAATGGCTAATTGGGCACAATTTAGACATTTTCACATAGAGGTGTACTCACTTTTGTTGCCATTTGTTTAGGCAATAATGGCTGTTTGTTGAGTTATTTAGAGGGGACAGCAAATTTCCACTGTTATACAAGCTGTACACTGACTACTTTGTGTCACATCTTTAATGTTGTCCCATGAAAAGATATAACAAAATATTGACAAAGATTTGAGGGGTGTACTCACTTTTTTTGAGATACTGCATATGTATTATGACAAAATAAAGAAGCACAAATGCTTCCATAAATAAAATTACAGACACACTGCAAACCAGACTGATAATGTCTATGATCGTGTGAATCTGGGACCCTTGCAGTGTTGTACTTGGTCTCACATATTTAAGGATGAGCCTCTTGGTGACAGTGTATCAGGGCCCTGGCATCTAAATACTCTCTTCTGTTGATCTCCCTGTTCACACGTGCCAGTCACGTTATCATCCATCTCCTGGCTGCAGGGAAACATCACAAACATATGCAACATCATGAACTGTAGGAAACTCTTAGTACAAAGTTTTCCATCAACACCACATTTAAAAAAAACAAACATACAAATTTGCACAGAGATATAATGTTATCATCATTTTCCCTATAAGGGGGACTTTTTTTCTGGAGAGAAATAAGGTGTTTATTGATTTGCTGTGACATTATAATTTTGTCAGTAACAACATGACAGTTATGAATAAAGTATGCATCACAAACTACTCTTAAGATTCCCTGAATTATAGACCTTAGATAGATATTTGTAAACTCAGACATCATTTATTAAAACTATAAAGTTCACTTTGGTAAATGAACTACGGTGTAATTGAAAGGAACAACCAAGTAATTCATTGTACATCAGCATAAATGTTACTGACAACAGAATACATGAAGCAATGAGAGTCTACCTGAAGAAAGGCGGGCTCTGTGTCTGGCTGTCCATCACAGTCTTCACCGCCTGGAAACAGAAAGAACGTTGTGAACTTACACCTCTAATATGAGCATGGTAAAAATAAAAGTTGGACATTTCAGAAAAGAATTACAAACACATATACTAATGTCTCTTCTACTATACCCAAGGAAATCTTGATCTTCTCTTACTTATTTTTGGTTGCCATAAGAGAATCATAAGCTAATCTAGCTCACTTTGGGCCTTCTGGGCTCTTCCCTAAACTCCACCGAGCACCAGTTCTGTTTAGTGGTTTTGTTTTGTTGATTTATCTTAAATAATGATCTTTTATTCAAGTTACATGTCTTGTGTGGACTCCCTCCTTGTCATTTAACTTGAGCCAGTTCATGAACCTGGGAGCATATCCAGAATCTCCAAAACCATCGCTAGTGTTAGAGCTTCAATAATTGCTGATAGCTAACTTACCTTGTGGTTTGAGTGCCACTGCTTTGCTTGAGTGCATCGGCTACTTGAATTACTTTTGGTTAGTTTTGTTTTAGGGTTGGAGGAG